CCCTACAAAATCGGTTTTTAAAAATGTTCTTAAGATTTTTTGTTCCTAAATTACTCGCGAATTAAGTAAAAAGGAACATTCTGACTTTATTACTTGTAACTCTGTTAAAAATAATCGTATCGTAAATAAAAATATAAATTCTTAAAGCTGAAACGTTGTTCTATCAAGTGATGTAATTGCCATTTTATTAAAAATGAAATGGGTTGCTAAAAAGTCTTTTTACAAGTTAGTAAAAAGACTTTTTCCCTAATCCAATATATAAAATTTGTATTTGTTTTTCATTGAATTATTATTTAAACACAAACGCAGTTTCTGTACTAATATTGTAACTGATAATATTTCCATTACAACGCGCGTACAAACTTACAAACTTACATGAATACCTATTGCGATACGAAAATTATATAGTAGTTTCTTTCCATACGCAGTTGTACAAACATTGCACGATGACGGCAGCGTGCACCCGCTGTGGCTTCTGTGGTTGGCGGTGGCACTCGGGATATTATTCCTCATCATGCTCATTATCAACATATTCCTGTGTTCGGCGATGACCTGTAGCTGCACCCGGACCGACATTATCGAGAAGGAGCCGTCAATTATTGAGGATTACGATCCATACCGCAGCTGGCACGGTTCTCAATACGGGTCGAGGTTTGATTTAATTACCTCTCTAAAGCGAATCGCGTGACTCGCCGACAAAGTATCTTTATTAATTGCGTCAATAATATATGATTACGCACTGTATAACCATGCGCCATCCACCATGCGGCATGATAATCACTTAAGTGGCTCGAATCGATTACTTATTGATAAGCTAATGAAATCGCTGTCAGATGAAATGCCAATTTATATATATATATATATATATGTATGTGTGTGTGTGCGTGCATGCGTAAATATGTGTGTGTGTGCGTGTCAATTCGGATTTAATCTAACGGTGATTTCATTAGCTTCTCAATAATTGATTTGAGCCACTTAAATGACTATACTCTTTTATAATTGATCATAAAGAATTAATTTAAGGATGTGTGATCGAAGAATCTCAAGTCTAAATTGCTCTCTGACGAAATTGATCGTAACCTTTCTGACAATAAGTAAAGTCGTATTTAAGCGCGCAGAGTCACGGCAATTAATGTCTTACATTACACATCACGACGCATGCGATGGCGTGCCTGAACGATTCTTCTTGTGTTTAGGTACTCGTTAAACGGAAAGCAAGGATACGCTTCCGGGGGATCCACCATGAACTCCACGAGGTCGATATCGACGAATAGCGATCATTATGCGATAGTGCACTCTCGACCAGGAAGTAGATATTCCGGTCCTGGACAGAAGCATCATCATCATCACAGAGGACCGCCGTCCAACATCGGTTCACACTACTCCGGGAAGTGATGTTCCCGTTAGCTTCATTTATCAAAAACTAGAACTCCATTGTCTTCATTAACGTTACTCTAATTAAACGCAAATTTTATGTATATGCGTCGCTATGGCATTATTCCAACCGCACGAATGACAGGCATTCGGTTCAACCGTAAAACTGCAACCGATGCAACCTTAGAAGAATTTAAAATATTATATAAGAAATATAAAGTTAAAGTATTGAACAAAATATTGAATAATGCGTCAACTTTTTTTTTATTATAAAAAATTATTTGAAGGATTGACTTTTGTCGCTTTATGGCTGAAAGTTAACTTACTACATTTGTCGTACTTGAGATAAAAAAACTGTTGCCTTAACATTAAAATTTAATGAATTAATAATAATAGTTGAGAAAGTGTTAATAGGCCAAGTTTAATAATTCACATAATAATTCCTAATTTATCTTTTTTGATAATTCGAAAATTTTGCGGCGATGAAATTTGTATGATGCCAAGTATTACACGTGTTTCACCGTTTTTCTCACATAGATCTTTTTTTATACTTTTGCACTTGTTAATATCAACGACAATGAACACCTTAGATACGGGAAATGCGAATTAAATATATTGATGAAATAAAATTTTTTGCGAATAAGCACGACGTAAAACGATACGTATTCACACATTGGTATTTTTATATTTAGCTTTATCATTCGTGGAATGATTCTCGTGCTTTAGACTGCGTATGTATCATAATATAATAGTCATAAGCATAGACACTAGAATTTACAAAACTGCGTATTGATCTTAAATAAGATATATTAGATAAATGCTTTTTGTACATAAATTCATTAATCTAAAAAAACATATGTGTCTTTTATTTCTATTGGCAAATATCTTCGGTAATTTGAATTATGCGAAACGTTTGTAAATTATAATTGATAATTTTTTTTAAACAGAATATTATTGCTTCTTCTACTTATTACAGATAATTTACGATGGTAATTACGGATTTTCTGCAACTTTCATCTTATATCCATGCATAATGTTATGCTCATTTAATGTTTATGAAATATTCAGAGCAATTTTTTTTATTAGTATCCGAGATGTACTAGCTAGTCACGTTTGAGTTTATGTATTTTTTTCCATGTAGTCGACGATCATAGTTTATGATCTTTGCATAAAATTATATAAATTCTGTGGTAATGTGACACTAATAAACGTTGCTTCAATAATATGCGCCGAATGAGAGCATTGTGAATTATGTTATTAGAGCTAATAACGATAATTCCGATTATGAATCGCATTTCATTTTTACGTTCTTATTCTGCCAGAATAAGAACATTTTTTTCTACTTTCATATCCAACTGTCCTGTTATGACCTTCTAACTTACCTTCTTATTTTAAATGAACGGACTATGACTACGAAAGAGTTATCACGTTTTTTTTTGCAAAATAAGTATTCTTAGCACATCCAGTCAGTAAATTACGGTAGTTAAAGTTGAACATCTTTAAGAACAGCTCGAAGTCTTTGTGCGAAAATTGAGAAATAGGTTAGTGCATGAAGTTTCTTCTAAAGAAACGCAACGATGCTAATAATATAATGGAAGTATAATATTGGAAGTATAATATTAAAATTATTAAATAGTATTTTTAAAAACGATTTATTATTAAAAATACATTTTTAGAATAAAATACGAATGAGTGGTCTGCAGCAGCTTTGCATATGTCTCTAAGTATACACAAAAATAACTCTCGCTTAAATACTCCATACTCCATATAAAACACGAAAACTCATATATAATATATTACGGATGGTAACTGACAGTACTTATACGGGTTTAGTTATATGAATATATAATTACACGGGGACTGGGGAGAAAACTGATATTATACTAGCTACATGAATACTGGAAAATTTGCAGTATTACAATATTTACAACGATCGATGTACCTGCTCGAAGAGATAATCAAATAACTGTTAATCAAAATTACTACAGTTGATTTTTTTACTTTCTTTTTTTTAACAAAGTTTACTTTTTTAATATTTTTAGCAAAATTAGAAATTTTTAAATTAGACAATTAACTAGATAATTGCATAAATATTTAAATTATAATAAAATATGTCTATTTCGGATTTTCATCTTCAAAAACTATTATCGCTAAAAAATTTTTGGCGAAATCAATTAAAAATTATTCTGAACGCATAGGAAACTTTAGTGAAATTCTTTACAGTAAAAATATTTCTAATGCACGCCTTACAAATTGGACATGTAATTTGTAAAACAATAGTATTTTATCGCATGTATTTATTTAGCTACACTTAAAAGTTTGATTAGAACTTTATGACTTTCTGAATGTATGCATATGCAAAATAACGTCACCGGAGTGACATAACGTTTCCAAATAATATATAATAATTGGCTATTATCGCCTTTACTCTTATACCTAATAATTAATTATAATAATTACCAGATTCGTTATTAAAAGTATCATGTACCGATGTTGCAATAAATCTGATTAGCCTTAATAATACGATACAATATCATAATTATCTCCGCACAGAAAATTAATTAGATTTAAGTATCCCACATTCCTTATAGCCTGCGAATGATAAATCATGATTGAGCGTCAACGATGAAATCCCTCTGTTCATCGTTACGCCATGAGTGAGTCAATGAATTTTAGAAAATTTTCTCACGAGAAAACGCAGAATCAACGTGCTCGTAATGCAGTCAATTAAACGGCAGGTACGTTATCTCCTTGATATCTCTTTTAAACTATTTCTTACTAAGAATAAAACGATTAGTTTAAAAACACAGCGTATATTTGCTATCCCACAAAACCGCGTCTATTCAAATAAATCGACGTACTGTCACAGTCTCCGAAGCCGACCGCCTCGATTGGCAGTATCGTAGATACATCCTCTCGCTCTCACATCGCGGATTCGCGTCGGCTTTTGCACGGTCTCTAAATCGTGCTCGTTAATCCCAGGAACGTTCTCCTTTGTCGAGGCGAGAAAGCGAACGGCCGACTCGAGAAAGTAACAACAACGTTCTGCATAACTCGATAGTTCAATGCAAAAGGATTACAATTTAAAAAAAAAGGGATGATTTTTCAGGTGGTACTTTTTTTCATTTTAACGAAAGGAAAACTTTGTGAGTATGTTGTACGAAATTATGTACTTTTATATATTCTATAGTTATTAATGGTTTGTGAAAAAATATCTCTAGATTAAATGATTTTATTCCTTTTTTATTTTTTTTTTTTTATGATAATAGGAAAATGGATTTCCTTTCTCTTGGCAATATCAACTGAAAAATTCGTTAATCCACGCTATATCTCTTTTGCATTAAGCCGACGAATTAAGTGCGTTTCACAATTACACTATTGAGTATTTCGTGTCTCAGTGATCCTGACGAGTGTATTTAGCGAAATGTCGAGGCGAAAACAGGAAAATTTTCTCTATAGATATAAGGCACGATGCACGCGCGTATGCGATCTCGCGTATCTAAGTAATGTTTCTGCATCTGTTTACCTTGTATGACCGAACGATTTAAGTGTTAATTGTGAGTTGCATGTAAACATATTTATAGAAAATTGAGGCACCATGAATAAACGTATAGCTATTGTTGCGCCGTATGCATTGCGCATATACTAATGATAAAATGTCAGCCTACATCTGTGTCTTCGAGACAGATCAATTTAGGATGTCGCTGAATATCGAAAGATAACGCGAATGGAAGGTAAAAAATAAATATGTTGATGTATTGACTCCTACAGCACAAAGTTGCACAAAAGTTGCAGCAACACTGCTGTAATACTGCAGCAACATTGCATACGATATTGCTGCAAATTCTGTGCTGTATGGGGATGTACGCTGATGCAGCTAAAAGAAGAATGACAATCATGAACCTTTACAGGACGGGAAAGTCATTATAGTGACGCTGAAAAAGTGTTACATTTTGAGCCAAGAAATACATAAAATAATGAATTATAACAAATCTTGGTCGAGGAAGAGCTGAAAGATTTTAATTTAAAAATAAACCCCAGTCCTTTAAAGGTAAACGATATTGTTGCACTCTCTTTGGATATTGTTACAACTCGTAGTCTTTACGTAAAATTTGAATAACCGCGCCAATATTACTCAGATACTTTCACCGATTTTAATTTTAGGCTGATAGAACAATAATGAAACCAGCGATTTCGGGCTGTTCGCGGCACATGCGCGAATTCACTTCCTAACTGAAAGACCGTTTTAAGAGCCTGGATCTGTCGAGGGAAGTTATTTGCAATCATAATCAATCGTGTTACACTTTTACAAAATTGTTTCTTGTTATATCTTTTCACCGGTTTTAAACGACGAACAAATAAATGAAGAGATACTCTCTAAACTTTTAGAGCGAATCTCACTTTGAAAAATGAAATATCACTCTTAACACTAGAAGGACCGAGGTAGCCAATTTGATTCCTCGCGAACTAATACTTCTCAAACTAATATAACTTTTTTATAATATGATAACTGCTTTTTGTAATAAAATAAATTAATAAAATTAGTGATACTATTGTTAAATGTTCATTATAATTATCTGTACGTTTCATTTTTTTCCATTTGTTGTTTACGAAGAAAATGTGCTTGGAGCCAAATTGGCTCTTTTTAGGGGGATCGTCAAATCCGGTCCTTCTAGTGTTAAAGATTGAAAAGTGAGCCATTTTTTTTCAACTGTAGCGGAAGAGTACAAATTCGAAAATTTTTCATGAAGAAGTGGAGACTTAAGCCTGTCACACACGAAATGCATAACAGAGCATAAACATAACATAAGATTGCTGGACCAATGAGCATCCAGCATAATGTCACCATATTGATTTACATAAGATGCTCATTGATTCAGCGGTCTTATGTTATGCTTATGCTCTGTTATGCATTTCATGTGTGACAGGCTTAAGAATATAAGATGACGTAGTTATAAAGATGATTAAAATGACTGATCAACGAAAATAAAGTTGAACGATTTACAGTTAATATAAAGTTAGTCATTATTAGTTTAAATAAATATTATGTTCTATACATATGAAATATAATTTTTATCTTTATAGTGCTTTCAAAGTTGATATGTAAGGGTCCTTAAATAATTTTGATAGTTGCGGATTCCGTGATCGTACAGATCCAGCCTGTTGGAAGGGCATTTCCTAATGATAATTCTCCGCCCGAATTGTCATCACGGCTTCCCGGCGATTCCCTCTTATTCTACGTACCCCGTTACTCCCACATTTTAATATCTCGTTAAGTATAGTGACTATTTCTACATTATTTACAGAGCGTTACAAACGTTAGCCGGTAACGTTCGTACGTTTCCCCCACTGAGATGCTTCACTCGCCACATCAACACATTTGCGGATTCATTGCGGATACTACTTATATATCCAATAGATTTTATTTGGATACATCCAAATAAATATGTTTTATAGTGTAAGAGACGGTTACAACAAAATTTTATGATCGCGAAGTATCAGGGTTGGGTTGGGTAAGTTAACTTTTTTTTAACTAAGTTAAGTTAAAGTTAATAGCCTTGAAAGTTTAATTTAATTAAAATACAAGTTAATCCATAATGAAATTAATTGAATTAAAAGTTAAGTTAATAAAAAAAAAGTAATTGGAAAGTTAAAAGTTAAATTTGGTCCGAACGAACAATAAAAAAAAAAGAAAAAGTTCGACCATTTTATATAATTTTTCGTATTTTTCCTTTCTCACATCATATTTATTAAAGAATCTGGTTATTTTTGTTCACAAGTAACGATTATACAATATAAAATTACTAAATTATAAACTCATTATCCTCTCGCATTGTGTTTGAGGATTGACTTCAAAAAAATCAAATTAAAAGTTAATAGTTACTGATAAAATGTAATTAAATTAAGTTAAAAAGTTAAAAGTCTAAAATGTAACTAAATTAAGTTAAAATTAATTAACTTTTTAACTTTTTAACTTAACTTTTATCTTTTTAACTTAGTACTACCCAACCCTGCGAAATATGAATGGCAATAAGTTTCGTAGCAAGCAAAGATAACAAGGATAACACATAATAGGTTTAGCATAAATAACAGTGATGGGTGAAGCATCTGGAACACAATAAATTATCAAGTTGACTGCCATCAACACATAATCTCTCAACCTTAAAGTCATCGTTACCTCTGAGAACGTTCGTCGTTTTTCGCGACGCCCAGCAGAGCGTCGATCGCCTTTGTTAACCCGTTGCCTCGCGAATCTCCTCAACATTTTTCCTTACCGTCTTTTTTGCTCTTAGCTACTCTCGCGAGGCAGCGGGTCGACATCCGTCGGATTCCTCGCCCGATCGCTGTTCTCGAGCCAAGAGCACGTTCTCGAGAACGGCCGACGAGGTTGCATACTTGAAAAAAAAAAAAAAATCAATATTATAGGCTCGCTACTTTACAGGAATATGCTACAAGTATCGTATGGACTTTGGAGCGTTTCTCCAGCATCTCTCAGTTTCTGAGCTCGTCGTGCACGTATCAATGGAACGCGTCCAACACATTCAACGACAACGGTGGCGTAATGGGTGGCAAATGGTCACCGCAGGTCGGGAAATTCGGTGGTATCGGCGGCAGATCCCCTTGCGTCCCCACGTGCAGAATCAGATTCATGCCGATCAATATGTGGAACAAGAAGTGACAATGGAACAGCCAGTATCCTATAAAGAAAATCGATGTGTTGATTTCTATGATATTAATCCTAGCTGTACACACTCTTTTTTTCTACCCTTGATATACACACTAGGGTTCCTAGGACCCCATCTTTGTATCGTAACTTCCGTAAAATTAGATATACTTCAATTAACTTTTTTTTTTCAATTGAAGAGAATTGATTAAGAAACAAGTCCATAATGTGTAAAAATCGATAGAATTAAGGAACTTCGAGATATATAGGTTTAAAGAAAAACAAAGTTTAGAAATACGAAAACAATCTCGATTTAGCAAATTGTACTGGAGTTTCTGGGACTCCAGTGTGTATATCTAGGGTTAAAATAATTAGGGTTAGTTACGACGGATTATTTTACACTACAATAATCGACGATGGTAAAATTTATAATCAAATAACGGCTTTCCATAAATTCTCATAATTTAACAAAAACAATGGCTATTAATTTCACCATTATAAATTTGATTGCAGAATTATTGAACAATTACAAACATTAGTTTTATTTTAATAATATTAATTTAGTATTAATTTCATGAACAGCAACAATTTCATTTGATATCAGTTACAATATTTTATTACCTCCATATTATGTTTAGCGATATTATATCTTGTAATTTGTATTCTATTTAAAACGTTATAAATTAATTGTTTTATCGACGTACAATTGATATTTCAATTTTGTTAATAGCTTTTCCCAATTAAATATTTATTTATGAAAAATTATCTCTAAAATCGCCAAGTCATTATAAAATTAAAAACTAGATACTTTTGTCTAACTATCTTATTAATACAGTTGGACAAACAAAACGTACAATAAAGATAGGTCAGTGCATGCAAATGTGCCGTGCAAACTTTCGTAATTATGTGAGCAACTGCGAACGGAAACGGTTTGCATCTCATCGGACTATCGCGCGAAAAGTTTTCAATTGTCCTTGTTAACTTACCCGGATTGTCCGCGCGGAAGCGGAAGATGACGTAACCGTTGTTGGGAACTGCGATGGTGTCCTTACCGGGGGGCTGGTTGAATTCTCTGTGCAAAAGACCTCTCTTATCGAGATCGAGGGCGTGCTTCAAATTAATTTTCTTCACATTTCTATCGGGAGAACGGCCAATACCGATCACATTGAACGCATATCCGTGCAAGTGGAAGGGATGCGACAAATTGGGCTGTTGTACTGTAATCGATCGTACACGAAGAATTAAAAAGGGTATCTATACAAGGAAAGAAAAATTTTGCTGAAGTATCTACAAATTTAGCTAGATATAGACCTGAAAATAATTTTGATGAATTTTGTTGAAATTATTTGCAGTATTGTTCATTATTGTTAAATTTCCTACTCGACCTAATTAGTAATTACTTTGATGATCTAACAATATTATAATTTTTACATTTGTATTTAACTAAATTTTTAGATATGTCAGCAAACTCGTTCTTTCCGCGTATATAGTTTCATAAGTTTATTGTAGTTAAAATAAATCTGCTTTACTATTTAAAAAATTGTATTGTAATGAGAAAGAAATTATAAGAAATTACAGGAAGAGAAATTATAGGATAAAAAAAATGTAAGATATGAGAATATTGTTTTTTTAATTGAATTTCTTTGAAGAATATCTGATTATTCAATGCCGGAACAGTCTGGGTGAAAACAGTTAATACAATAATCATAGCAAATGCTGTGTCCATACCTTCATCTACGAGAACCACCTCAACTACCGCGTTATATGGAATGTCGACCATATGCGTGCACATACAATTGGCGCCGCAATCAGCTGGCCTATTATCACCATTACAGAATTGTTCAGGTGGGATGTCATTGATCTGTGAGAGCGGAGGTGCCGGCGGGAACGTGAACGAGATCTCGTCCACGAGAGAAATCACGTGGTCGCCGGTCGGCGCAACTGTGGACACATCGGAATTATACAGTAAATCACATATTTCTTGTGTAATTTCTTGTGTTAAATGAGTGTTAAATGAGTTAAATCTGGAACGACAAAACTTGAAAATTGCAAAAATTTTTACTAAAAATTACACATTTTTGTTAAGAAATTTAAAACTTTTACGTATTGAAAAGCGTTATTCTGAAACATTATATGTTTTAATATTACAAACAGAAAGCAATTTGCATTTTGTCGAGTTTATCAGTACATAAATAATAATAATATAATAATATAATAGAATAATATAATATATATATATTCAAATTTAAAATTGCATGTAACAAAATTTATAGTGAATGTATTTCGCGGAGTATCTAATAAAATATCTCGCATAATTCTTGTAGCTTCAGGAATCGTCGAAGATGTTGCATGCAACGCGTGCTTGGATACAATTCAAGAGATAGGCAGATTGTATCCCTTTTCAAAGGGGCACATCATTCTAAGGAAGTCTGAGAAGTGCCGTGTCTACGCGAAGCAAAAATTAAATGTAATCATCGCGTGATGTGTTTGTTTCCTTTTTGCGAATTAAGGTAGCTATTAGCGCTTTCTTACCGAGGAAGCGATTGTAGGTCTGTGGCTGGAAGACCTCTTCTGGTCTGTAGAACAGGAAACGGAACGGCAGGAAGACCTTCACGTCAGGGCGTTGCTGCAGAAGACCCTTATCGATGTGGGCGGCATTCTTTAGTTGGCTCACGCAAATTGCATCGTCGCGTTGTCGGTTGCAAATGGCATCCAGAGGATTTAGAACCTGAAAAGAAGAGATGCTTGAAAGTTCGCTCCTTGTATCTTCATTTAATTTATTAACTTGTTCCGTGCAGTG